CCTCCTCTCTCTGAAAAGCAATGGAAAAAAATATCCTCAGGTGAGGATTAAAAAAAAATAAAATAAAAAACAAAAGTAAGTAAAATATATGACATGTGAGATGATAAGTGCTTATGGAGGAGATTAGAGCAGCTGGGGCAGGAACAGGGACTTTAGGTGGTATTACATACTGAACGTGTGTGCCTCCTACCAGATCCAAATGTTGAAACCCTAACCCTGGTGTAATGCTATTAGGAGGTGACTAAGAGTGACTAAGACACTCTCTTGGAACTGAGAGTGGGATGCTGCTGCAACAGATGCCAAAAATGTGGAAGTGGCTTTGGAACTGGGTGATGGGTAGAGGCCAGAAGAGTTCCGAAGTGGATATTAGAAAATGCTGATATTGCCATGAAGGGATTTTAAAGACAATTCTGGTGAGAGTTCAGAAAGAAAAGAGGACAGCTGTAGAGAATACATACAGGATCACGTGGGGAATGTTGGTGGAAATGTGATTGTTAAGGGTGGTTCTGATGGGGTCTCGGGCAGAAATGAGGACCGTGTTATTGGACAGTGGAGAACGTGCAGTCCTTGCTCTCAGCTGGCAGAGCACTTGACTGAACTATATTTGTGTTCTAGTGTTTTGTGGAAAGTAGATCTTGTAATAAAATTGGATATTTAGCTGAAGAGATTTCTAAGCAAAGTGTTGGAAGAGAGGCATCGTTCCTCCTGACTGCTTATAATAAAATGCAGGAAGAGAGCCCTGGCTGGGTGGCTCAGTTTGTTGGAGCATCATCCTGTGCACCAGAAGATTATGGGTTCAATTCCCAGTCAGGGCATATACCTAAGTTGCAGGTTTGATCCCCGGTTGGGGTGCATACGGGAGGCGACCAATCGATGTTTTTCTCTCACATCAATGTTTCTCTCTTTCTCTCTCTCTCTAAAAAAAAAAAAAAAGAAAAGAAAAGAAATGCAAGAAGAAATAAAAGAATTGAAGAAGGAATTGTTAAACAAAAAGGAACCAGAATATAAAGATTTAGAAAATTCTCAGCCCATCCATATTAGAAAG